TATTCTTTAATTTGGGTTTTTGGGTTTCCCAACATATTTTGCTCCTCAAATTAATATTTTTCAGATCCTCAAAAGAAAGATTCAGAGACCAAGACTTAGCATCATGTGACAGAGACAGGAGTTCAAGAGACAGATCACCTCGTGACAGAGATCGGAAAGATAAGAAGCGGTCCTATGAGAGTGCTAATGGCAGATCAGAAGACAGGAGGAGCTCTGAAGAGCGCGAAGCAGGGGAGATCTAACTAGCTGTGTACATTTCTTCAGTCCTTAAGCTTCCTACGGAGTTACATACTATTGTTTAGTTCACAGCTGTTCAGGGTGACAGTAAGCAGATCCAGACACCAGATCCAGCTAGGCTAGATGTACAGTATCTAACTTGATCTGAACTGAACCTGTTTTCCTTGATGATGCCTAAAACTACATCCATAGTTTCTGGTGAACCTGTAATACAGTTCTGAAAGTACCGTTTTATATAATAAGATGCTGATCTCTTTATTCTTTCAAGTAAGAGTGATAGTGAACAAATTGTGTTACTTGCCTTGGGATTTTTTGAACATTTGTAAAATGCTGTCTTCCTAGTCCAAACAGCTGCAGCTTTGGGCATTTTCTTTTAAATTCTTCTTTTCTCTGACTTTGTATCCCTTAACCTGCACTCCCCAGTTGTAAGAGAAGTGGGACAGGGAAGCACTGTAGCTTCCATTCTAAGGCTCTACTCCCGTTATGAATTACTAGTGATTACAGTTCAGAGCATTGATCCTGGAATGTGTGCTGGAGAAATTTAAAATACTGGGTTTTTTTGTTTAATGGTGCCTGTTTAGAGTTGGAAATTGAACAGCTGTTGCATTACATACTTTTGCTTTTTTATTGAAATTTTGAAATCGAACTTGTCTTGATTTTTCTGTTCTGTTGAATTGCTATATTCAGGATGTTCTTGGGGGGTGGGGGCAGGGATTCTTCGTAATAAGCACTTGTTTTATTTTGTGTGTGTGGAGTATAAAGGCTACACCCTTATTGTAAAACATAATAATAAAATGAAAGAAACAATCACCACCACCATTATTAAACTGTAACTTGTCTAGTAAATTGTCACTAGAACTATTTGCTGTGGGCATTTCCTCTATTCTGTTATATCATTAATATAAGTGCCTTACTGTGCAAGGCACCAAAGGACATAAATACGTACTTACAGAGATTCCAGATGAGCTGTTCACGTGGGCCCCTTGCTGACTATATTCCAGCCACATCAGGGTTGTTTGTAGTGACCGTTACAGAGAAGGAATGGACCTGTAGAAGAAATTGGGTGTTCTTATTCAGCAAACCCAAATAAAAACGGTATATGTAACCAACATAATGAGACTTAAGTTTCTGCATTGAAGAGCTGTATATCCACTAGTAACTTAAACTGTAATTGGCAGGTATCACTTGTGATTCTGGAAATTCTGAGGAACAAAAAATTCCTTAAGTAATGAAATTAGTATCTTATAGTGGGTATAATTAAGGCCACCTTTCAAGAACTGTTAATGTCCTTCATCCCCAGGTTTGACAGATTTGATGTCATAGGCATGTGGGCCCCTGTGAAGGTGGTGAGAGAATGGGAAACTAAGGCCATTCTAAGTGATACCAGATTCACATTTAAAAAACAACAAAACCGTCATCAAGTTCCCAATTTGCCAAACTATGCTTCATTAACTGAAGGTTTTCTGCTGTATTTGGTTCCACACATGCAATTTATATGGCATTTAATCCAAGAGCCCCATCTGCATCAATGGCCCATTTCCCTTCTTTTATTTTTGGTTGCTGAGAAATGTTTTATATCTACTTTGTTCCTGGTAGTCTGTGCTGTTCTAAATCTTTATAGGCACTTCGGATTTAGTACATTGGGGTTTGGAGTAAGATCAAAAGGAGACTAGCTGGTTGGTGTGAGGAAGAATGTCTGGGACCTGGCCCATTAGAGTAGTATTTCTGGACTTAGATTTTGAACTCTAAAACGTATGTACAGTTGGAATTGAACACTTGTAGAAGTAACAGGTCTGTATTATCAGTGGTTACTGCAGTTGTGGTTTCTAGGTGATACAGGCAGTCCCAACACCAACAGGGCATGATAGCCATGAAGTGCACTGCCACTCCGGCTTTGCGCCACAGGAGACCACTTCAACTGCAGGGCTGTTTGCATGACTGATGCCACTGAATTAGAGTAACTCTCAAATCTTAAATCTTTATATCATTTTCTTATATACAACTTTTGGTCTTCTGTGTTGGTGACTGGTAGAAAGGATAACTTGTCCCTCTGGGGGGTGTTTTCCTAAATTTTCACCTTCAGGTTTCCTTCGTTTTGCTGTTACCGGTAGTACCCCAAAGCCCCTTTGCTGAGCTTCTCAACACCAACTAAGCCTAAGGGAAAAAGCCTCCTTAAATAGACATGTATGTTTGTTTGTTGGTTTATTTGAGACAGAGTTTCTCTTGTTGCCCAGGCTGGAGTGCAGTGGTGCGATCTTGGCTCACTGCAACCTCCGTCTCCTGGGTTCAAGTGACTCTCCTGCCTCAGCCTCCCAAGTAGCTGGGATTACAGGCATGCATCACCACGCCCAGTTAATTTTTGCATTTTTACTAGAGACGGGGTCTTGCTGTGTTGCCCAGACTGGTCTGGAACTCCTGGCCTCAGGTGATTTCCCTGCCTCTGCCTCCCAAAGTGCTGGGATTAAGGCATGAGCAACCCTCCTCGTCCTGCCCCTGCCAGCCTTGTTTTTTAAACAGACTTTCTTACTTGTTATTAGGCCTAAAACCAAGGTTAATTTACCTTTATCTTTTCCAAGTTCATCTTTCCCTTCCATGTTACATTTTAAGGATCTTTAATTTTTAATTTTTCTTTCTTTCCTTTTTTTTTTTTTTTAAATAGAGACGGGTTTCACCACATGTCAGTCAGGCTGGTCTCAAACTCCTGACTTCAGGTGATCTACCCACCTCAGCCTCCCAAAGTGCTGGGATTACAGGCATGAGCCACTGTGCCTAGCCAAGAATCTGTTTTTAATAATAGCTTTCAACATTGGCCTTTTGAGCTGTCACCAAGTATGCATTACAATTTCCACAAACACTTTTGCCATTTGATGTGGTAGTAAATTCTTTTAAAATGGTTTTTAGGTAATAGTTATGTACATCATTTAAGTTTTTCCAAATAAAGTTTGGTTATAGTTGTTAAATTTGTTTATAGGTTTTTTTTTTTTTTTTTTAAAGATACGGTCTTGCTGTATCACGAAGCTGGAATGCAGTAGCATGATCTTAGCTCACTGCAACCTCAGTATTGGGCACAAGTGATCCTCCCACTTTAGCCTCCTAAGGAGCTGTAATTATAGGCATGTACCACCATGTCCAGCTGATTTCTTAAAAAGAAAAAAAAAAAAAGATTTGTAGAGGCTGGGTGTAGTGGCTCATGCCTGTATTCCAGCATTTTGGGAGGCCGAGGCAGGCAGATCACTTGAGGTCAAGAGTTCGAGACCAGCCTGACCAACATGGTGAAACCCCATCTCTACTAGGAAAAAAAATACAAAAATTAGCCAGGTGTGGTGGCACGCACCCTGTACTCTTAGGAGTCTTAGGGGGCTTAAGGCACGACAGTAGCTTGAACCTGGGAGGCAGAGGCTGCAGTGAGCCGGGGTCACACCACTGCACTCCAGCCTGAGCAGCAGAGTGAGACGCTGTCTCAAAAGACAGAAAGAGAGAAAGGAAAAGAAAATAAAATACTTTCCCTTGGCCAGTCGTGGTGGCCGAGACACAAGAATTGCTTGACAAGGGAGGCAGAGGTTGCAGTGAGCAGAGATGGCGCCACTGCACTTCAGCCTGGGCAACAAGAGTGAAACTCCGTCTCAAAAAAAAAATTGTAGAGATGGAGTCTTGCTTTGTTGCCCAGACTGGTCTTTAACTCCTGGGCTCAAGCAATTCTCCCTCCGCCTCCCAAAGTGCTGGGTTTACAGGAATGAGCCACTGCACCCAGCCCTTATTTATTTATTTATTTATTTATATTTATTTATTTATTTAAGATAGCTGCCCATCACTGAGTTATATATATATATTTTAGCTTTAAAAATCCAATATTACAAAGTTAAAAAATATCTAGGCCAGGCATGGTGGCTCACACCTGTAATCCCAACACTTTGAGAGGCTGAGGCAGGCAGATCACAAGGTCAAGAGATCAAAACCATCCTGACCAACATGGTGAAACCCTGTCTCTACTAAAAATACAAAAATTTGCTGGGCGTGGTGGTGCGCACCTATAGTCACAGTTCTCGGGAGGCTGAGGCAGGAGAGTCACTTGAACCTAGGAGGCGGAGTTTGCAGTGAGCAGAGATCATTCTGCTGCATTCCAGCCTGGTGACAGAGCGAGACTGTGTCTCAAAGCAATAACACCACACACAAAACCACTTATTGAATGGGATATTCAGCTGTTAACTGCTGCCCCAGTTGTGAAACCATTGAAACTTGTCCCTTCAACTGGTAAAGTAGCCCTGGCTACTTGAGTGTCTGCCCCCAACACAAGACCAGCACAGCCAGGAACCTCCAGAATAGTTCACTACCACGTGCTATACTGACTTAAATAGTTTGAAACACATCCTTAATGTTTGTTTTGTGTCTGAAAAAGCAGAAGCTATTTGATGTAATAAATTCTTTCAAAAATGGTTTTTAGGTAATAGTTATCTACCTTAAGTTTTTTCAAATAAATGCTGTGGGTTTTGTTTTTGTTTTTTAAGACAGGATCTCTGTTGCCCAGGCTGGGGTGCAGTGGCACAATCTTGGCTCATGGCAGCCTCAACCTCTTGGGCTCAGATGATCTTTTTGCCTCAGGCCCCTGAATAGCTGGGACGACAAGTGTGTACCACCCTGCCTGGCTAGTTGTAGTAGAGACAGGGTTTCATTGGGTTGGCAAAGCTGGTCTCCAACTCCTGAGCCCCACTAATCTGCCTGCCTCAGCCTCCTAGAGTGCCTGGCCTACATCGTGATTTTATTATATCTTCATTATTTAAAATTTCCTGGGGTATAAATAAGGCAATATGAAGTTGCCCTTTCTCAGTATTTTTCTTTGTACTGCCTGTTAATTTGAAAAAGCATTTTCTCCTTTGGAGGAGTTAGGAAGGGCTAGAGAGCTAAGAGAACAGGGTTTCTCTTGGCAGAGGCTGAGTGGGGGAGACCAGGCAGGGGTCTGTCAGCAGAGTAGTACTGGGCCATGCATGAGAGGGGGCTCTGGAGTCAGCAGGCAGCACACCTGCATGTTCTCCAGGTAGCAGCAGAAACATTAGGGTGTTAGAGGTTTTGGGTCTACAGGCATATCTGGGGATCAGAACAAGCCAATGGCCAGCATTATAGGGTTTAGGCTGAGCAAGGCATCGAGACTCACAGAATTGGGCTGTCAATCAAGCAAGGATCCAAGAGATGGGGCCAGCAAAGTAGAAGTCAAAGGCTGGTGTCGGCACCAAATCTGCTCTCGCACTCCTTTGGGAGACTGGTTCTCCAAGTCTCAAATGCTGTTCACACTCGTCTCTGGATGCCATTGGCTGGCTACCTGTAAAAGAAAGTACACTAAATGGGCTAAACTCTGAAGGGACCTTATTGGCTTATGTGACTGAGTTGCATGCCAGCTTCATCTCTCAGAATAGCACCTGAGCCCTATATCCATATGAAGAGAAACCATTCTATCTTGTGCCTCTTAAGAGCAAGGCAACTTTTCCCAGAAGCTTTTGGCAACCTTTTTCTCACACCTCTGTCCCTGGCACAGAGACCTACACAGACGATGCTCAATGAATGCGGAATGAATTGAAGTGCCTCATTGTTTCCAACATACATTAACCCACACGTTCTCATTTGGTTCATATAACAATGCTGTGGTGGCCGGGCGCGGTGGCTCAAGCCTGTAATCCCAGCACTTTGGGAGGCCGAGGCGGGTGGATCACGAGGTCAAGAGATCGAGACCATCCTGGTCAACATGGTGAAACCCCGTCTCT